ACGTAATAGAGATTTGGAAGCTAAGGAACAATCGTGAAGCTAGTCGTAAGGAGACTCGGGACAGTAGTCGCTATCGAGCGAACGGTCGGGTTAGTGAAACACTTGGAAAGGCGGCTCAAGGCTTAGCTAGCCTTGGACGCGTTAGATTGCCTAATATTCAGGCTCCGAGCAATGCTGCGTGTCGCTGCCATGGGGCAAAAATACACGTGAAACCGCACGATGGAAATACACGGCTTTATCGTCCGCGCGCGACTGCGCCGAAAGCGAATGGTGAAAATTTATTAGTTTCCTGCTGCCATCGTGAAACCGAAGATGCACCAATTTATCAGCTGGTTGAGAAATACGCCTCTCCAAATACGCATCTCGATTCGACACTTCGTGGAATTTACGAATTGTTTCATCACGTTGAACCCAATAAAAAATTGTCGCTTTATTTTACAATAATTAATTTTTTAAATAAACTTGTGCTAATTTGAACGTTCTAAACGTTGAAAGTCGAAAACTCATGTTTCGAAAGTAAAAAATGATACGATACATGTTCACGATACATCTTCTTAAATATGAAATGTCTTAAATATGAAAATTACTTCCAAATATATTCTATGCAGATCTATTTTTAAATTGATTAATTACTTCATCATTTATAAGCATATTCGACGATTGTCCATTCGACCTTCTTTGTGACACGCGATAAAAAAAAATTTAAACGTATTTAAATCGCTCGGTTGGTATGCTTCTGCATAAGAAGGCTTTTCGGACTATTCTTATCAATGTTGAATCATATTGGCAAATCCTCTTACGTAAAAGGCCGAAAGTTTTATTAGACTTTAGAAACGCGCTTACGAAATTTTATTTTCGGCGGTCACGTCGGCTTTTCATGAAGGATGTTCAGCTCGATGATTATAATCACTTGCTATTCACAATGGTAAACGAAAAAGAAGTCTCTGGCCGGTTTACTTTCTAAGACTGAGGACTGTTTAACCAATCGCCCATTATGACTGTCGACGTGGCCATTGGAAGGGTTTGCGAAACCTTCCGCTATCTATACTTGTTCCTCCTCCGGTTTGACACCAACATCTGTTGACGTCAGAGAGCAAGACAAGCGCAAATGAAAATATATCATAGAATTATGAAAAAATATCAAAATAAATGTCCGCGTGCAGCGCAAAAGTAAAGTAAAAATTTATTATTATCAAAGAGGCTACGTGTTTTTTTTTAAGCAAGTCAGCGAATAAAGTATCTAGCAAAACGTGATCGTTGACGATACGGCAATATTATAACTGGAAGGAAGTGTTGGCAAGAGTGCTGACTAGAATCACAACTGATAAGGAATACGTGCGTCTGTCTATCAATATTCAAAAGTAATGAAAAATAGAAAATTCCGCGATGAAGATGAACGACGATTGGCCAATCGCTTATCGGACATTTGCGCATTCGCGCGACGAGGCGTAGAAGGCATTATCGAACCCTTGCGCGTTTCCAAAAGGTACACGAAGCGAGGCAAGGCGAGGGGGAGGGGAGGGGAGGGGAGGGGAGGGGAGGGGTGAGGAGGGGAGAGGTGACGGAGGCGGAGAGGTGAAAACACACATTCGCGTGTGCGGCCGCGGCAGCAACACACGTGCGTGCGCACCTTCGCGCGCTTGTAAGCGTCGGTTATGACATAACGACGTAACGCATGCGTTTAAAGGAGACCATCGGAGAGAGAGAGAGAGAGAGACGTGAGCCGTCTTGCGGGGGAAAGCACTGCTCACTTTCACCGTTCGCAGGCTTTTACATTGTAACACGCGTGCACCACGCCGGTCCGTGGGCATACAGCTCGCGCCGCCTTTCGCGTCCCGCCGTTTAACATAGTACCAGACGCGCTCTCGCAACGAGGACCTGCATCGGTCTTACATAACTACCGTCGGAAGACACTAGTCCGCAAAGTTTTTCGCAGGACACGCATCGTAACTTAAAGCAAGTCGCGAGCTTGCGCGAGTTGTCCCCGTAAAAATGGAATGGAAGAAAAAAAAAAATAAACATTACCCTCTAGACATCGGTCTCTCTGTCAAATATTAAAATGTTTGTTGATATCACCACTAACGTGTAAATATATAAAGTAATAAAATTTTAAAAGTAAGAAATTATAATGGTAAATATAATTATGGTATAGAAAAAAAAACAGTTTTGCTCGAGTATCTAAAAATATGGTAAGATACAGAGCTGAAAATAATTTTGTTGTGCCATCAAAATAATAATTGCAGTGCAGGACGCTCTTGTCGTATGATGATAATACTGCAAAAATTTTTATATTTTATCCAATTTAACATAATTATTTTAATGATTCAACAATATTATTTTCAGATCTGTATTTGACTTGAAAAGATATTTCAGTAAAACTATTCTTTTCATATATTAACATTATTCTTTTTTACAAAGATCTCAGTAATCACATCTTATATCTTGTGCTGTTACTACTACCTAGACTGTATCATATTAATTGCCTGTATCCTTTTCTTTAGACAAACAATAATGTTGGTTTAAAGGTTATATAATTAATAATGTTGTTTAAAAAATGCTCTTGTGTACATTAAACGAGCATATTACAACAATATTAATTAACTGTTTGTTTGTTTTAATCTCCATCTCGAGTCGTGCAATGTAAATCGTAGAAAGCCTAATGGCTCGTCTCAACAGCACGGTCAGTCTTCTTGACTCAACCTACATATCAAAACGTCTTGATCATGATACTTCTGGCTCAATATTCGCAATATGATCGCTAAATTAGAAAGAAAGAGAGAGAGAGAGAGAGAGAGAGAGAGAGAGAGAGAGAGAGAGAGAGAGAGAGAGA